AATTAAGCGAGAGGAGGCACATATAGAACATCTAACATAAAGAACCTAACAAATATACCCTTTACTTCTTTTTTCATTAACACAACTGTTTATTACAGTCTCCAAAAGAGCTGACTAATTATAAACTATATCCTGAAATACAAAATTTAGCGGGGGTGGTGGTGGTGGGGGGTGGTGGAACACGCCTATAATCCCAGCACTCAGGAGGCTAAGGCAGGAGGATCCTTGCCAGTTCAAGGCCAGCCTGGGTTACAAAGTGAGCTCAGAGACTGCCTGAATTGCATAGCAAGACCCTGTTTCAAAAAGACAAAAAAAAAAATTTATAGTTTCTGTCCAAGTCTATCAAATTTGGTAATAATGAAAAATAGTCCAAAGAAATAGAATATGAAGGGGTCATATTTTGGCTTTCCTTACATTTCTTAAATACTGAGAAACAAATACTAAACACATCTATGGAGCTTGTAACAAAGGTATGCAAATGAAATAAAAAGAACACAATAAAATTTCTACAATAATTAAGGTAACATAAAAATATATGTAAGGGCTGGAGGTATAGTTCACTGGCATGTGCTTCACATGCACAAGGCCCAGAATTCAATCTCTAGCACTAAAATAATAGTAATTCTAATTTGTGGTATTACCTTCGCAACTTTTAGAGATTCCTTTTTTCTCTCCAATCTCTCTTTCTTCTTCTGTTCCTGTAAGATAACTGTTTCTTAGTATCTTAATGGGGAATATGATATATAAAACATGCATCTCAACTCAAAAAACTACTTTCACGATGAAAAATACTCAGCTAAAAAACAAAGAAAACTTGTGCCTCAAGTCTTTATGGAATAAAAGGGAACAAAGATTTACCCTCCTGTCACAAGAAACATCCAGATAAAATATATTAAACAGTGATTTTTCAAAGTAAACACTGACAAAAGGGAAATGAGATCAATTCTTCTGACTGCCCAACTTACTGCCTAAAGGTAAGAACAAGTAAAGCAGAGAGAATCCAAACAGAAGCCAAATCTCTTTGCACTAAAGACACAGAATTGAAACTGAGAACTGCTAGTATTTTCAGTGTGAAGGACCAAAGAGGACAAAGAGAAAGTTACAGTCTTGTTGGAAGTGGTGGCTCACGCTTATAATCATAGCAGTCAGGAGGCTGAGGCAGGAGGATCAGTGTGAGTTCAAGGCCAGCCTGAACTGCATAGTGAAACCCTGTTTCAAAAAGACAAAAAAAAAAAAAAAAAAAAAAGGAAGAAAGCTACAGTCTTTAGACTAAACAGTGATAAAGGCATGAGTGTAAGGAAAGCAAAGGCAGGAAAACAGCTACTAGAATGAAACAGGTAGGGGCTGGGGATTTAGCTCAGCGGCACAGCGCCTGCCTGGCAAGCGCAAGGTCGTGAGTTTGATCCCTGGTACCGGAAAAAAAAAAAAAAAAAGAAAGAAAGAAACAGGTACGGCAATCTCCCATGCTCCCAACAGGTCAGGAAAAAGGTAATACTTCATATTCCCTCAGGGAATGTAAAAAGTCCTAAATACAAGGCGTCAAGTAGAATATTCAAAAGGGAGACAAAGTTATTCCTAGATAAAAGCTTTTAGAGATATACCTTAAATTTTAAAAACAAGACACAAAGGATACAATTCATCTTTTCTAAAAAGTGATTAAAATTGTATTTGCCTTTTAACTCATTAAGTACATGTTTGTTTTGGGTTTTATTTCACAATACAAAGATTTAAAAAGGGTTCCAAAAAAGGAAAATGGGGATAAATGTAGTAAAATCTCAATTAATAACTGTTAACAGGCGATGAGAATATAGTGATTTATTGTAGCCCACAGTTTGCAGGAGTTCTATCATTACCAAAATAACAAATAATAAAATATATCACATGATAGTGCAATAGGAAGAGCATAAGGCAAAGCAGATCAAGAGTCAATAATTTTAAGTCCCAGAACTCTGGGAAACTAAGGTAGAAGGATCACAATTTTGAGCCCAGCCTGGGAAAGTTAGCCAAGACCCTCCAGTCTCAAAATTTAAAAAGGGGCTAGGATGCATCTCAGTGCAAGGCCCTGGGTTCAATCCCCATGTGTATGTGTGTGTGTGTGTGGGGTATAATATATGATAATATGAGTTTTAGTAATTTCATTTAAGGTTGGCAGAGCACTTCACATCTTATTGAGATTAATGTTTAAGCCAAGGCATGCTTACAAATATCTTGGGGCACAAAACTGCCAGGGCAAAAGCTGAAAGGCAAAAACAACTGGGAAGAAATCTAAAGGGTAATGGGGTTGTGCTAGACAGTCAAATTGCTGAGACTCTTACAAGCATTTTAAGGACTTTGGCTTGTCAGAAATAATAAGCCAGGGGATGGGGATTTAGCTCAGTGGCAAAAGCACCTGCCTGGCAAGTGCAAGGTCGTGAGTTCGATTCCTGGTACCAGAAGAAAAACGAAAAACAAAAAAAATAAAAAATAAAAAATAAAAAAAAAGCCAGACGGCAATGGATAACTGTAAGTTGCCTCAAGGAAAAAAAAAAAAATACTGCCAAGCCTGGTGGCGCACTCTGGAGGCTGAGGCAGGAGGATTGTGCCAACTTCAAGACCAGCCTGGGCTACATAGAGTTCAAGGCCAGCCTAAACTACATAGCAAGACCCTGTCTCAAAAAACAAAACAAGAAACAAACAACTACAGAAAAAAGATTTTTTTTGGCCACAATGGGGAATGGAGCCCACGGTCTTGCACATGGTAGGCAACTGCCCTACCACTGAACTTCACCCAGTCCTTTTAAGTTTTAATTTACATATACATACCTCTAACTGCTGCTGCTCCATTTTAGTCAATAAAAATTTGGAGTAGATATTACTCTTTTCAAGTAAATGTTGAAGTCTTCGATACCGAATTTCCGTAGACTCTCTGTCCCAAGACATGCGGGCCTATCCAAAGAGAAATTTCCTATAATTACTTAAAGAGTCTCACTGATTTTCTTGAATAAGGCTTAATAAAAATGGCTAAACACTCTTTGGGTTTAAAATAATTCCTAAAAATAATGAAAAAAGATTCTTACAAGATTAACTGACTAAAGATAGTTTAGTTTTAAAAAAATAAAACAAATGAATTTTTTAAAAAGACTGGCTAATAGGGGCTAGCATATCTACTTTTAGAATTTTAAAACTGTGTTGTTAAAATATTCAACATATTGATTTCTTATCCCCCTCCCCTTCCCTAGAATTGTTTGCTCCAAAGCTTTGACCTATACCCTTTAGCTTTTTCTTCTTTGGTACCTTTATCTTTCACTTCTATATACTTTATTACAAACCTCTGCTTTCCACATTACTATAATACAGCATGTATTCATCCAGTAATTTCTAGGTGTTTAAAATAGTCTAGTGGCGGGGAAGGAAACTTCTTTAAAATCACACTGAGAAAAAAGGTAAATAGTTGAAAAGAATAATGGAAGGCACAAGACAGAAAACATGTCAACTGAAAATTCCATGCAAATCATTACAGTAGGCTAACATGAGTCAAGTAAGAGTTGAATTTACCTACTAAAGCTATGGTATATGTAACTTTTACATTTTCTCCTAAGAAAGGATGTGTGTATGTATGCATGGGCACACACACAAACATTCAAACTATCTAGATCAGGACAGAGGTGATAAGAGGAATTAATGACTCTAACAAGTATGTAGGATTGAGAACTATAGTATTATCCCTTTAAATGTAAGTTCCTTAATACCTATCAATAAACGCATTCCTAATCCACATGAATTTCAAATTCTTGAGTAGAGGAACACAGGAAGACTGAATTTTACCACAGATGAAATGACATTAATAATCTGAAAATACTGAGTTGGTTGTTTTTTTTTGTTTTGTCTTTTTGAAACAGGGTCTTGTTATGCAGTTCAGGCTGGCCTTGAGCTCACTTTGTAGTCCAGGCTGGCTCGAACTCGAAATGATCCTCCTGCCTCAGCCTCCCAGCATGCGCCACTATATCTGGCATGAAAATACTAAGTATTTAAAGACACACAAGCCATGAATGGTGGCAGATGCCTATAATTCCAGCTACTTTGGAAGCTAAGGCAGGAGGATCACAACCTCAAGCTCAAGCCCAGCCTGAACAACTTATTGAGAGCTGTCTCATGAAAACAACACAGTCTTATATTCAATACTAAATTCTATAGCAGATCCATATATCCTGAAAAATTCAAATTGCTAAAATCTAAGAAGTCGGATTTCAAGAAACAGGTAAAACCTGTACTGTCTAAAGGACAGATAAATGAGGTCAGATGAGATAAAAAATGTTATCAGTTATGGTATAAATTCCTCCATTAATATGAGTCTCTGCAACTGAACTAAAAATCCTAATTAAGTAACTATAAAATTAAAGAGACCTTTATAGATTTGGTAATACAAGTTTCTCATTTTTATACAGTCTAGAGAAACTTTTGATACTTTATTAAGGTTATCCAGCTGTTCTGTGGTAGATTCCTACTATCTTGCTTTTCAACTACACTAAGCCACCTACTTTTCAACCAAAACAATGAAAAGGAAAAAAACAAAGACAATTCCCTAAAAAGCACTAATTGTCCCGTCTTACAACTGGTGATTTCAAATTAGAGGAATCTTACAGCACATACCTAGCATGAGCCAGGGCAAGATGCACCCCCAGGAGGAAGGATGGATAAGACACAGATGATGGGAAGGTATGAATTTATTTCCAAATTTTTTTGGGGGGGTCTTTTTGACACAGGGTCTCACTATGCAGTTCAGGCTGGTCTTGAACTCACAACAATCCTCCTGCCTCCGCCCCTTTCCCCCCAGCGCTGGGATTACAGGCATGTGCCACCAGGCCCAGCTTTATTTCCAAATTCTAAATGTCCCTCCTCCATCTTGTAAATTATACTTTGAGTGGTTTTTGCTAATTTAGTTTGTGATGTCTAAGATATTACTCTTATGGACTTATGTCTTCCTAAATGTCACTCTAGTTTTCTTTCAATGTAATTTCTATTACAAAGCCAACGACAACTGTTAAGTATCTAAGTAATTTATGCTCACTACAGGAAAGTTAAATGTCAAAAAATACTTTAGTCATCAGGTGTGGTGGCATGTGCCTATAATCCCAGCACTCTACAAGACTGAGGCAAGAGGATTACATATTCAAAGCCCAGCCTGGGCAATTAAGCAACTCAGGCCCTGTTTCAAAACTAAAGAAGAGTTACGGAATGAAACCCTTAATACATCTGGGCTTTAATTTACATATAGCCATTAGTACTTTAAATCCTATTCAGAATAAATTACCATTTATGTTAAAAGCAATTAAAGATTTAAGATATCATTATGATATATAATTAAACTATACCAATGATTAATCTTACAATCGAATCTGCAATATCTTAAGTTATTCCTATCATCATCATTATTATTGTGGTATTGGGGATCGAAGCTAGGGCCTGCCTTCTGATTTAGCTATAGTCCCAGCCCCTTATTTCTTATTTTCAGACAAGGTCTTGCTAAGCAGCTAAACTGCCCAGGCTGGGCTCTAACTGCCATCCTACTATAACAGCCTCCCAAGGTGCTGGAATTATATGCTTGTAACATTTCTCTCTCTGATTCAGCAGTTTATTATACAGTAGTAAACTCACCTCTACCTGTGGAAAGCACTGACCAGAACACATGTTGGTGGGTAGAACTCACCAGTATATAAAGAACACTCAGAGCTGAAAGCGCCACTGTCTACCTTAGTATCTTTTAACATCAGTTCCAGCTGTTTTGAAGTTCTACTTTAGTTTATACACAATATTGTATTGTATGAATCACTTTTACCTTTCCAAGAAATCTTCAATTTTAACCTTCCTCCTCCCTACTTCAAAGGCAACAATGATACTCCTAAATCTAACAATGACTTCTTTTAAAGGGAAATGCAGGTGAAAAGTCATACGAAATAACTGAATCACAAAGTCAATGTCCAGGCTTTTCACAAAGGTTAAAGGCTTCTCATCAAGGAATTTAAGATAGCTATTTCTCTTTGTATTTCTAAATATATGCCCATAAATATGTTGTTCCCTTAGAGGCTTTAAGGTTTTTTGATCTCCAGAGAAATGTTTTTAAATCTCAAATAAGAAGTCTTTGAAAGAATTTTCTAGTCACTTCAGCAGTAACTTTTTATGACTCAAGTGCAAAAATTCACCAAATATTTCAATACCTACACATAAAGAGACAAAGTAAGAAATGGACCACAAGCCTACTTTTGAGAAAACTACACATTTGTATTATTCATAATGAAAAGAACTATATACTTTTTTTATGTAAATATTTAATGTGGATTTAAAATTACTCTTTAGTAGCTAGGCATGACCTTGTCTAAAAAAAAAAAAAAAAAAAAATTTAAAAGGGCTGACAAAGTAGCTCAGCATAAAGGTCCTAGGTTCAGTCACCAGTACTACAAAAAATAGTTACTCTTGGCTGGGGATTTAGCTCAGCGGCAAAAGCGCCTGCCTGGCAAGCGCAAGGTCGTGAGTTCGGTTCCCGGTACCGGGGGAAAAACCAAAAAACAAAAAAAAAAAAAAAAAAAAAAGTTACTCTTTAGTTCTATGATGCATAATTTTTTTTGGTCGTTTTGAGACAGGTCTGACTACGCAGTTCAGGCTGGCCTTGAGCTCACTCTGTAGCCCAGGCTGGCCTCAAACTCCCAACAGTCCTCCTGCCTCAGCCTCCTGAGTGCTGGGATTACAGGCGTGAGCCCCCACGCCCAGCTATGATACATAATTTTAAAATCTATAGGTGGCATGCCTCTCCCTCAACCCTAACAATTCCAATAAATTTAATATTGATTATAAAATATTTGTTTACAAGCTTAAAAATGTCATTCATTAAAAATTGCTGGGCCGAGGATATATGTTCAGCAGCACAGCATTGGCCTGGCAAGCACAAGGTCCTGAGTTTGATTTCTGTTGGAAACACAAATGCCATCAATTGAGGAATGGATAAAAAAGGTGTGGTCTTTCTATACACTGGAACAACTACTCAGCCATAAAGAAGGATAAACTGCAGACTTTTATAGGTAAATGGATGCAACGTGAGACCATACTCATAGGTGAAATAAACCAGTCTCACATGTGTAAATATCGTATTGTCTCCCTGGTGCGAGAAGCTGAAAGAGTAAATAACCAAAATGTACAATAGATATTGTAAAATGGGAAGAAACTGTTGAAAAGGAAAGAGAAACTGGGATGGGGAAAAGAAGCAAAGAAGGAAGAGAAAAGCAAAAAATTAAAAAAACAAATATATATATATATATACACACACACACACATATATACACACAAGACAGTTAAAGATCGTTATACTACTAATTTCTCTTAGTTCATTGAAAAGAAAGGTTTTTGCTAGTATTGTTTACACAATTAAATGCATATACTTTTGTGCTGAGTAATTAATTTAAAGGTAATGATATGTAATCCATTAACCTTTGTTACTCTCCTATTATTGTTTTGAAATTGTTTTACTTTTTTTCTCCTTCAAATAAAATTTTAAAAAAGAAACCAAAATTTAAAAAGTAAAGTTTTAGTTTAAATGAGGAAGAAAATGGCAATAGTCCCAAAGAAATTATAATGTAAGCAGACATCAGTATTTTCTAAAATAAAAAAGTAACCTGTTATATGACTCAAATCTGCAGTCACTCATTCTCAAATCTTGAGCCTGCGGTGAATATTCCAGGCACTCTGCAAGGTTCTGAGCCACAGTCATGTATGAGCCAGACAAGTCCCTGGATTCCGTGGTACTCACAGAATGAGCACCTGGTACTTTTCCTGATACCTGGACCTATGTGAGGATCTTCTAACGGTTAATCTGCAAACCATATGTTTATATGCAAAGGGAACTTTCTGGAAATAGAAAACAAAACTGCTAACAAGTGCTTACTCTGGGCATAAATGTCAAATGGGAAGGCTAAGAAAAGAAATCTTACTCTCTGTATAGTTCTGCATTGTTTTGATTTTCTTACAGGAAATAAGTATTTGTATATTATCTTTGTGACTGTAGTTTTAAAAGTTCATTTGTTTTATATAACAATATCCAAAAAACAACAAAAAAAAGTTGATCACTTAGGTGGAAAGCAACCAAACTAGGAAGATGTCACGAGACCTGGATTCCAGCCAAACCTCTGATTAATATTAACGTCTACCTTCTGTCTAGCACATTTCGACTACAGGTTTTAAAGATCAGTGTTTGCCACTTGGGAGGCTAAGGCAGGACGATCTTTGCTAGTTTGAGATCAGCCTGGGCTACAAAGTGAGCTCAAGGCCAGCCAGCACTGCACAGGGAGACCCTGTCTCAAAAAGACAAAAAACGGGCTGGGGATTTAGCTCAGCGG